ATGCAAGTGAAGAGGCTTCACATCAACAGTAATTCTCAACTTATTGTGGGACATGTGAATGGCAACTTCGTATCCCGGGATAAGACCATGTCTTCCTACCTCAAATTGGTAATGAGCTTACTCCCTTCTTTCGAGATATTTGAATTAAACCAAATCCCACGCCTCGAAAATGTACATGCTGATGCTTTATCCAAGCTCGCCAGTAGCAAGGATTCTGAGTTGTTGACAGTGGTCCCAATCGAGCACTTCCTCAAGCCATCTACCTCTTCGGAAGTAGTAATGTGGGTAGAGGGAACTCCAACTTGGATGCAACCTCTTATATCTTACCTCAAGATCAGACTTTGCCTGATGACAAAGAGGAGGCATAAAAGATAAGAAGGAGGTTTGCCCGTTTTATGCTAATGGATAATATTCTTTACAAGCGTGGATTCTCCGCACCCCTCCTTCGGTGCGTAGGAGAAGAGGAAGCCAGCTATGTGTTTCGGGAGATTCATGAAGGCGTTTGTGGTAACCACTCTGGAGGACTGGCCCTAGCAAATAATGTACTAAGACAGGGATACTACTGGCCTACTTTGAAAAAAGATGCACTACAGTTTGTTCGCAAATGTGACAAGTGCCAACGTTTCTCCCACGTTCAAAGACAACCTTCCTAGGAGCTTACAGCAGTGTCTAGCCCCTGGCCCTTTAGCAAATGGGACGTGGACCTCATTGGTCCTTTGCCTAGGAGTAGAGGGAACACCAACTTTGCTTTTGTTGCAATTAACTATTTCACGAAGTGGGTAGAGGCTGAGCCTCTGACGAAGATTACTGAGGCTAACACCTCCAAATTCTTGTGGAAGAATATAATATGTCGGTTCGGCATTCCCCACTCAATCGTCTCTGATAATGGGAAACAATTTGACAATAAGAAGGTGAGAGATCTTTGTGAAGAGCTAGGGATTAGTAAGCATTTCTCTACCCCCCATCATCCCCAGGCTAATGGTCAAGTCGAGGCCATCAACAAAACCATAAAGCACACTTTGAAGAAAAAGCTTAACACGGCAAAGGGAGCCTGGGTAGATGAACTACCCCAGGTACTATGGGCAATACGAACAACAAGCAGAACACCAACTGGTGAAACTCCCTTCTCCATGACTTATGGTGCGGAGGCTATAAGCCCAAATGAGGTAGGATTTCCCTCTCCTCAAAGATTAAGTTTCAACAAAATATCAAACGATGAGCTTAGTAGGTGTGAGCTTGAAGAGATGAAGAATGATTCCCAACGAAGGCTAGCCACCTACCAAAGGAAGATGACCCGATACTATAATTCTAAGATGAAAAAGAGGTCATTCCGAATAAATGACCTAGTGCTTCGCAGAGTTTTCCTGTCCTAGAAAGAACCAGGGGTGGGTACCTTGGGACCCAACTGGGAGGGGCCATACCGTATTGAAAGAGAGATTCGACCTGGTACCTACTGGATCAAAGACATGGATGGTAGGGTCCAACCTCATCCGTGGAATATTGAACATCTTAGAATGTACAATCAATGAATGTAATCCAAAGCTGGAAGTTCTTTCCTAGCCTTTGAA